ACGTTACGGTGCGGATAAGTGTGCGTTGCAGTACGGAGTTTCATATAAAGATATTTATAAAAAAAAAAAGAATACTGACCGCCTCGAATTTATACGGTTACCGTTTCCGGTTTGATAGGTATGCTTCATTGGTATTTTTATAGCTATCAGGCTAGGTGATTCATGCCTACGGTGTAATTAACCAAACGAGGATGATATTGAGATACAATAGTATTATACAACCGCTTATCCTACTAATTTATGAATACGAAAGTTTGTAAGGATGTATGGATATATTATGTTTCTTAGGTACTCTTTCACGCCAAAACTACTCAACGGATTTTGATGAAACTTTACAGTATTATTGTTTATACATCAGAATAATATTATAGGCTGTATTTTAAAAAGATTTTTGATAAACTGAATCTCATGCGGGCGAAGCCGTTGGCAAAATCTAGTTACTTACTTTCCAAAAGGGACTAAAACCATCTACGTTAATTATTAACTTAATTTTCCATCTAAAACAATTAAAGGACACTTATAAGTATACGTGTGGGGAACTACGTGTTTACGAACACTAAGATTTTATTGCCTACATTCTTTACTGCCTGTGTGTGATCTTTGGCTTTGCTCTGCACATACCCAGCAAACTACGCAAATAGCACAAAGCCTTATTTGGCACATTATTACATTTTTGCGGTAAAAGTCGCGTAGGATGACTCGACATGGCTGCTGTTTAACCGCCTAAGTTTGGTTGAGACGCTACATACTTGGATTGAAATAGACGGAGTTTATTATTTTATTTATTTATAGAAACCAACCAACAGCTATACATAGATAATATTAATTTAGTTACAAGATAATAATTATTATGTGATCAAAAATTATGGTTGATAAAATAAATATTTTAAAGATGTGACACTACCAATCATTTTGTTCTATAAGTTAGTACTTAATGCCCTAATGACAACATAAAAACATCTAATGATTGCTTTTACAACGTTATGTAGGGTGAAAAAAAATTGGAAAAAAGTTGTTAACCTACTTGTTTTTCTTACTTCGTCATAGAACCAAAAAGTTGACATTTTTGACGAGAATATTATGTATTACTAAAAGTTGTGTACCGAAATAGTGCTTAAACAAATTAATACTTAAAAAAAGCGATGTATGCGTATTTCATTTATATTTATACACCTGAATTTCCCAGCAGATTTAAACCTATTCTAGCGCGAAAAACTCGTCGCGCCATTGATGGATTTAGGGTTCCCTCGGTGAATACTCAAATCAATCTTGTTAAAGGCCAATCTAATTTATAACCCGAAAAACTTTTGAAAATTTAATAACACTGTCGAGAGTGTCAAGTTTATGAAAACGAGAATAATAATTTAGACATGCACATAAACATGATGGAAAAGTTGAGCAAGTCAGATTCTTAGTATTTTAGTATTAGTATTCTATTACTTTAGTATTCTATGTCTGTCAGATAAGTAATATTTGCATATTATTATAAAACATCTAATTAGACTAGAGAGAATTTGTAAAATACTTCCTTGAGCGTAATAATGAGCGAGTGTGTATTTAAGTAACAGTACTTTAATTAAACGAGACAGATTCTACGGAACCCCTTGCGAAGTAAAAACTGTTCTAGTATTTTTAGCTGTCGCTTTAAAAGTTTTTCATGTTGGCACATTCATGTTTCTGCTGTTTTGTTACATTCTCCCGTAAAAAAGGATAGTCCATATTTGCATAAAATATGGAATAAATTGCAGCGGTATCTTTTCTGAAAACACCCCTTTATACGCATTAATGACTGTAGAAGTGAGTATTTATTTCAAAGCCTACGTTCAGAAAAAGAAATAAATCCTACAGAACCTTTTGTGAAGTAAAAACTCTCTTCTTTCTGGCTGCCGTTTGTCGTTTGAAGTTTTTTATATTATGGCATCCATATTTCATTGTTCGTTTTGTTCCATTCTCCCGTAAAAGTTGAACCACGTCTGTCATCGATTATTATTTCACGCGAGAATATTGACAATGGAATCTAGTTCAATCCTGACACTGGATTTTAGGGACTTTGCTCACCGTAGTGACATAACTAAAAGTAGAGGCAATTTTAGAACAAAACAAAAAGCAGCTGCATAAGTGTAGTTACATTCACCCACCTGTATAAGTAGAGTTACATTCAAATTCATGTATTGAAAATGTATGTTTACATTTTTGAAGTTAGTGACTGGTTTTTAAAAGTATTCCTGTAACCCTTAAATCAGTCGCTGCGATTAAAATTTTGTTGTAAATTACAAACATTCCTTGGATATTTTATACTGCACCTTACTCCCAAATTAAGCAAAACTTATAGGTGACTTATAGGGTACATACCAGGTGACGAATTTATAAACATAAATGTATCTTTCGTAAATAAATAGATAAATATTAGTACATACTACTTAGAAGACTTATCATAATGTATTTACATTAAAAACTTACTAATAAATCTATAGTCACATTCATTATATCCAAAGTTACCAAAGCAAACTTTAGCGACGCGCCAGGCAACTTAGTGAACTAAAGCCCTAAAGTTTGATTCACTGTCAATGTCGTCGACAAGTGATGCGCTATTGAAGTGTCTGTTCACTGAACACGACCTGACAAAAATTGTTTGTCTAGTTTATTTCTAGGCTGAAATATTTTTCTGGATAGAATAAGTATCTTGTGAGTGGAGTACCTATTTCGGTTGTCAGCTTGGAAAAACTATTCTTCTATTAGAGAGCAAAAACTAATCTTAAGAAAATTTAATTAAGTTATTGTGATATTTGATTAAGAAAATTTAATTAAGCTTTGCTAGCTTAAAAATAATGTTTAATGTAAGGCACATTAGTGTCTAATTTTAGCTGTTTCCACAGAATATTACTTGTTTCAGATACTAGGCTACATTTCTAATTAAATTAGTAGTGTGTGCCTAGATCTATCATATTTTTAAGTGTTGTGAAAATTAAAGTAGCTAAAGATAAAAAAGAACTTTTTTGAATACAAAAAAGTATAAAATGTGATATTGTATTGGATAAATAAAGCTGTCCTCGGGATTGTTAAGTTAAGCAATTACGTTAAATGCTTATACAGAGCTTGACCTCGTTTGTTGCTAGTAGTTAGCTTTTACCTTGTTGGATTCAAATTGATTCTTAAGTACATACCTACATTGTTGCAGGGCGTCAGACATACATTGTTGTAATAAAACAGCACATATGTTTTAATTTCTTGTGGCAAGCTAAATATACTTGTGATACGAGACGGTTCACGAGTTCACGACACCTTAAAATCCAATTGTTTATTTATGCGAATAGGCTCACAAAGGGCACTTTTACACGTCCCAACCCTACTGCTTCGGGACAGTAATATGGGTCAGTACTGAGAAGAAGCAACTCTAGATCCCCAGTCACTATTGTTAGCCTCTTTTCAAAAATTTACAAGATTATGTACCTACTAGTGTGAGCTAGGCAGTTTCAAATGTAGTCCATAGCGGCGGGGAAACGATTATTTAAATGAGAAGAGTGCGTGGACTTTACCATAGCTCGCACTTATTACATGCCATGTAAATTATAAATTACTGTATTTGATTGAAAAAAGAGGCTGACTGAGTTTCTTCCGCCACTTCTTCTCAGCACCAGCCCATATGTTGTCCTGAAGTGGTGGTAGGGCAAGCTTTAATTAGGACGTGTATAAGTGCCCTGGAAAGAACCTATTTTATTTTAGAGACCTTCGTCGCTCGGCTATTACCGCTTTGTTAAGTCTACTTAATGATACCACAGTGTTTATCTTAGTATGCTTCCGCTTGTACATTATATCACACTTAATGGGAACCTTTGTTAGCTGTGAAAGGTGCTGGGGAGGAAAATAAACAAAAGCATATCATATTTCTTTTCTTATCAGCTGCTACAATAATTGCTTTTGCGACCTACAAAGCTTAATGATATGTACTCTTTAATCTTCTTACTGCTTTTTTTGGTTATTATTGCTTATCACTAGCACTATTATGTCACTGCTACTATTATGTATTCTGTGTCACTAGGTGGGCATAGTATAAAATAAAGTAGCTTTCGGCTGTCTGTCTCTATGTATTCTTAGGGACTTTCAAACTACGCAACGGATTCTGATGCGGTTTTTTTAATAGATTAAGTGATTCGAGAGGAAGGTTTATTATGTATAACTTAGCACCCATGAAAAGTTAGGGCGGGTCGCTAGTCATAAATATCCTAATTTATCTCTGCAATTACGTAACACTCATAAATTTCTAGGTCAGATAAGACAAAAACTAAATAAATACAAAATAAGCACCAACTTAAATTATCATACTGGATTCACATCTAAATCGATTTATTTATCTTTCGTTCCTACCTTAATCTTAGACTTGCACGTCGCTTAACGGACACAAGACTAATGCTTGCAATGAATCCTGATTTTGTTTAATTGGATGGGCTCGCATTTATCGCCATTGTTTCAGGGGGAATTGAGTGAGCTTACTCAGATGATTACCTAGATCTTTATGATTTAAGATTGGCTGCCACTTAGTGTAGGTAGGGCGTTTGAATCCCGCTAGAGACGATGTACAGAATGCATTGGGACATCTTATGTTTAGCTTTCGGTCGCTATAGTCAGAGTAAATACAAATGAGTAGGTTAACTTCATAGAAACGCACCGAGCGCGGTTTGTATGTGAGCTCGCCAATTCGTATGCGGCGCGCACGCACACACTGACAAAATTTAGCGGGGATTATCGGGGAGTTGCGCCGAATTTTGTCAGTGTGTGCGTGCGCGCCGCATATGTCTGTTATAGTCTATATTAATTACGGTAATGTAGCATTCTAATTGTAAAGGAAATTTTGAAATCGATTCAGTAGTTTATTCATTACGAACATACAAAATACAGAACTTTTCTTCTAATGTTGGTATAGTTAGTTGTCGACAAAAGAGTTCTGCGTCTTATTATACCGTGTTTTTCTTAAATAAATCAACTAAAATTGATCTACTTACCCTGAAGGAAGTTGACAGTCTTGCACATAACCTCCCCGAAGTACCAGATGAGGGTGACGGACTTGGCGATCTGCACCGGCATGCAGAACAGCGTCACCAGCAGGTCGGCCACCGATAGGTTCACCAGGAATATGTTGGTGACGCTGGAACAAACATACGAAGAGCTTGCTGTAATGTAATGATAGTAAGAGAGGCTTGGTTCTTATGACCATATTCAAAGGGAAGAAACAGTAAGACATCTTCAAACTGCGTCGTATGTTTTATTTTAATCGGAAACGATTATTCTCGTTACATAACAATGTCCTACACAATTTTAAAGTAGGTAACGATTTTTTCTTCACCCAAAGTTTAACAGGCAAAAGTATTACGTTCGCCTTATTTAACAATTTGTGGCATTACGATTAAATAAAATATAGGTACTGTGAAGGAACATCAACGATACATACATACGCCCTAGCGTATATCAAACAAATAATCACACGACCTTACACTTAGCTATTGCTTTTCAAAAATACGCAACACATACGGAGGTAGCACAACGTATTCTTATTAGGAAAACTTATTTTTCAATATACAAGCAATAAGAATATTTTTTTTTGTGAATAAAGCGGTAAGAACAGTTTTACTTTCACTTTTACTGTGTCTCAAAATAAAACACGTCCTTCGGGTCACCTTTAAAAACGGATTTAGTAAAATCCGTGAACCAAAGTGGACACGGAAAACCGAGGGCAGAAGATTATGAGGATTGTATTATGGGAACCCACATCACATGTGCACGACCGACCGCCAGTGTGCAATGTGTGTTGAATGTGAAAACAATCTTTTTATTTTTGTCGGTAGAAATTACAACAGAGTTCAAAATAATTGTATAATGTTTACCATTAATATACCTACTACTTATGATAAATTTAGTGCTTATCATTTTGGAATGAGTTTACTATCTTATTCAAGTCAAAACCATTCAAGCTACGAATGAAAAGTTATGACATAGGAAATTCTAGGAAAAGAAATAAAGAAAAAAAAACAATGCAAATAAAAAATAAATGAATAAATAAATAAATGCAATAAAGATTTGAGTATAGAGTATTGAAAAAAAATGCAATCTTTTCATGCTGCTGTTTCATTACTTATTGGTTTCGTTACTTGCAGTCTTACTCTTTTTCTTCATTCATTCCAAACAAAATATTTTAGTAATTAATCACAAGTATATCTGTATTTCATAGAACACGTTAGTAGTAGTGTTCTCGCTAATGCATTTGAGGAAATAATAACTTTTAAAACTAGTAAACGTAACATTTTTCAATCCGAAATAATATTTCGGTCCGATTCCAGTCCGATTTCATTACCAGTTTCTCAAAAATTCTATTTTTAACAAAAGTGTTTATCTATACTTATAATAAATCTGTAGAGAGGTCAATTCTGTACATGAAATATATTTTCAAAATAACTATCAGGGGGTGATTAGTGATCGATACTGATGCCAAAAATGCAATCAGTAAAATTTTTGTCTGTCTGTCTGTCTGTCTGTCTGTCTGTCTGTATGTTCCTTATAGAAACAAAAACTACTGGACGGATTTTAACGAAACTTGGTACAATTATTTTTCATACTCCTGGGCAGGTTATAGGCTACTTAGGAATTCCCACGGGAATGGGAATTGGCGGGAAAATCCTTTTGTATGAAAAATCTAAACCGCTTAAGTTAGACGCTTGAAATTTGGCATGCAGGTACCTTAGTAAACTTCTGTCTGTCTGTCTGTCTGTCTGTCTGTATGTTCCTTATAGAAACAAAAACTACTGGACGGATTTTAACGAAACTTGGTACAATTATTTTTCATACTCCTGGGCAGGTTATAGGCTACTTAGGAATTCCCACGGGAATGGGAATTGGCGGGAAAATCCTTTTGTATGAAAAATCTAAACCGCTTAAGTTAGACGCTTGAAATTTGGCATGCAGGTACCTTAGTAAACTTAAAGCTTAGTTACAACAGGATATTGCAAAATTCCCACGGGAACGGGAGTTAGTGGGAAAAAACATTTGTATGAAAAAATCTAAACCGCTTAAGTTAGACGCTTGAAATTTGGCATGCAGGTACCTTAGTAAACTTAAAGCTGGGTTACAACAGGATATTGCAAAATTCCCACGGGACCGGGAGTTAGCGGGAAAAAACATTTGTATGAAAAAATCTAAACCGCGAAAGATAGACTCTTGAAATTTGGCATGCAGGTACCTTAGTAAACTTGAAGCTTAGTTACAACAGGTTATTGCAAAATTCCCACCGGAACGGGAGTTAGCGGGAAAAAACATTTGTATGAAAAAATCTGAACCGCGTAAGATACACACACCGGCAGATTTAGCGGAACGCAAAAAAAAGTATGAAAATAAGGAAAATTACTACTGATCTATGAAATATTTATTATACAAAATAAAGAGATAATTAAAATAAAATAAAATAACATATATTTTTTAAATATTTAGTCGTTTTTATTTAATAAAAAATCATCGAAACGAAATTTCAATTTTTCAGTTTTGAACAAAAATTAGAAATTGTGGCCAGATTAAAAATTAGGGTAGCTTATCACTATCCAAATGAATGAATTAATGATGGGTATTTCCCCCTCTTGCTCTGATGATGGTTTCCATTCATCTGAGCATGCTGCAGTTAATGATATGAAGGGTATTTTGGGGCAATGTCTGCCATTCCTCTAGTAACGCGTTTCTCAACACCACCGGTGGTATTCTGAGTTTAACACATCTTTTAAGAAAGTCCAAGACATGCTCTATAGGATTCTTGTCTAGGGATCTTGCCAGCCACTGCATCATGGGTATATCCAAATGGTTTAGATGTGCCTGTACTGAGCGAGCACTGTGAAAACGAACATTATCGTGAATTAAACTAAAGGAGTCCACAATAAATGGAGTAAATGGCACATCATGTTCTTCTAAAATGTTCCTAGTGTACCATTCAGAAGTCGTATTTCCTCCATCACCCACCACTAACTCCGTGCGAGCTCCCAAAAAAATCCTTCCCCACACCAGAATTAAGCTACCTCCATAAACCACGATATTTTCAAAATTAAGACTAAATGTTACGTTCTCTTTGTGTCTCCATATTCGCTATCTTCCATCGATCTGGTTTAAGAGAACTCTGCACTCATAAGTGAAGAGATCATGCCTCCAGTCGTTCAAGACCCAATCACGATATTCACGTGAAAAGTTCAATATGTTTTTTCGGTGCTGTGTCACAAGTTGGAGCTTTCTCGGGTATGCACGACCCTATACCAACTTCAGTAAATCTCCTGTGAACTGTGGGCTCAGTCACTCTTACTCCTCGAGTGTCTTTAAGGTTATTTCTGGCTTGAACAGCAGGTAACCGCGACTTTCTGAAAACTCGAAGTTGTAAAAAACGGTCATCCCGTCGCGAAGTACGCCTTTTTCTGACTTGAACCCTCCTCCTAACGACAGAAATGATCAATCTGTACCGTTGGTTACTGCCATGGGTGGTCGATACTGATCAACGACGTCTTACGGCAGCCGATTTGTATGCATGGCCGTTACTTCTCATTTCATCTGCCTTAATGATTTCTGACGGTGCTAAGCTGGGCATAATAAACCCTTATAAGTAACTGAATGCTTACACAACAATATTCTCAGAAAAAAACATCTTTCACGTAAAAGAAATCCAAATTAGCAAAAGCTTCATTCAATTCAAAACACTCAACGAAACTGTTGATGGGGTAATTTAAACAAAATAATTAAAAAAATATACTGTTGGCAATTATTTTTTTCATATTTAGAATTAAATTAAAAAATAATGTCATAATTAGGCATTTTTTTCCTAAAATAATGATGATATTGATGCTTTTTTTTCCGTTCCTCTAAATCTGCCGGTGTGTGTAGATGAATGGGGGGTAAAACGAGATCCACGCGTACGAAGTCGCGGGCGGCCGCTAGTTTCTACATAATTTATTTTACTTTTAAAATCGATTCAATTATTTCCTATAGCAATTCATCTGATTATATTTCTTGTTACTTAATAACCACTCCGTGTTTATAGATCTTTAGTCATTATTCAGTGCCGCTTATTATATCTCAGTGCTTTGGAAAACTTCTTGATAATAATACTGTTTTTTTTTTGTTTCAGGTAAGTTTTTGCACATTTTCAAGACATTATCGGTGGCAAGCTGTTTTAGGTATGAAAGCTCTTTATTTTTTACATAGGATGTGTTATCAAAATGTGTTTTAAGTTTTTACTTATCTATTGGATAATATTCAGTGCGCGAACAAAACGATGAGATGCATTAAGTAGACAGTCTTTATTATCTTCTCAAGTAAATTATAATTAAAACTAGCTTTCCGCCCGCGGCTTCGCCCGCGTGGAATTTTGTCTGTCACAGAAAAACTTTATCGCGCGCGTCCCTGTTTCAAAAACCGGGATAAAAACTATCCTATGTTCTTTCTCGGGACTCAAACTATATCTATGCCAAATTTCATCAAAATCGGTTGCGAGGTTTAAGCGGGAAAGCGTAACAGACAGACAGACAGACAGACAGAGTTACTTTCACATTTATAATATTAGTTGGGATAATAATAAAGACTAGACTTAATGTACAAAATATTAAATAAATAAGTATCTTCTGCGTATGTGAAATAGGTCTACTCGTATGTAATACAATGTATGGAAGGACTTACTTAGCCGTTTACATACATAGGCTGGTACACATCTATTTGCATTATCGCCTCTAAACTTCACAAAACAAAATAAATCAAAACGACTACTGTGTTTTTGAGGATCATCTACAAAAAGCAATATTAATACATAAATTCACACAACTTACTAGATCTAAAAATATCGAGTGTTGTATCTCTGAGTAAAATCTCAATTTCCCAAACATGTTTCTACTTATCCCAAAGGGTAAATGTTTATTTTAAACAGAAGTACAGAAGAAATACCCTAAGTACCACTTCGGCCTTTGTCCACGGAGGCTCGTCGACAAAAAGATTATACCCACGGACTTTTTGCGGTGCTCTAGTTCTTTTTGTGATGTGCTAAGGTCTAAATTGTATTACAGTTCTGCCCAACTTTTTACAGATAATACGTAGACCACGTAATCCTTATAAGCCCCACTAGGGGCAGTCTTCAGT